CGATTGTCAGCTAAACTGGAATTTGTTATCATATTTTAATTTATTATCAGAATCATACACACCATGGTAGTGCAAATAATTTTACTAATCTGAAGTCACGCACATTCACAAGAAATTGCATACTAAATAAAGAGGACTCAACTTTTCTAAACATTCAAACATACAATTTTCGCAACAATAAAACAACATAAAGTAAACAAATAAATTACAAATTCTAACAATGAAGGAAGAATCCAAGCCATCCATGTATTTATGCGAATTTTGGGATACTGCAAATTATAAAACTGGATGGAAACACTACGATGCCAACTAATACGCAACAAAATTCCAAAACAAGCTAATCTTGTTTGAGGTCAATTTTGAGGTAAGAAGACATGAACATAAACTACGTCAGAAATAAATTTACTTGCATGTGACTGAATAACTGAATGAAAAAGTGCTTTATTCATAAATTGCTCTACGATGTTCCAATTTGTTTACATAAATTAAATTCGCAACTTGCGAAAATATTTATGTCGCCCTAGTTACCACCCAAAACATCCCTAGCAACTACACAGTAACATCCTAGCAATGTGACGTGAGTTTTGCACATGGATGCATAATATATCGCTATTTTATCGATTGTCAGCTGATAATAGATTTTTTTTTTATGTATTAGTATGTTAATTTAGAATTTTCAACTGTGCATTAATTCCTCTATTTTGACATTTAGATTACCTTTGCCAACATCTAACACTCACTCACACAGTTAATCTTTAAAAACACTAATAATTTTATAAAAGCGCAAATTTTTTGTTCTGTTCTGTTGACATTTGCGTCATGTTCGGACATAAACACTGCTAAAGAACTCTTTTAAACCTGTGACTAGGGCTGGGCGATATAGCTAAAAAAATTATCAACGATATAATGTTTCATAACGTTCGGTATCGATAATTATTGACATTTTTTATAATCTTTTTTAAAACAAAGAGCAATAGAATTAAAAAAAAAATTTAACTACTGTATTTTTAAATGAACCCAATTTATTGTGCTTGTCGGCTTCTGCAGTAAAACGTGAACTCGAGTTGCCTTGAAAGTGGACAAAACGGCTTTTTTGACAAAACGTGTTTAGGGTTCAGACTAGGGCTGGGTGATATAGCTAAAAAATTTATCAACGATATAATGTTTCATATCGTTCGGTATCGATAATTATTGACATTTTTTATAATCTTTTTTAAAACAAAGAGCAATAGAATTTTAAAAAAAATGTAACTACTGTATTTTTAAATGAACCCAATTTATTGAGACAAACAACAAATATTTGTTGTTTTAACAATCAAACACAAAATAAAATTCTAATGTTTTATATGCAGATTAAATAGGTCTTAAGGAAAATTTTGTCTTGTCTACCGAGGCCACAGGAGGGCGCAATGAGCAAAATATGAGCAATGTGAATTACGTCTAAATTAACTCATAAAAATCAAATATAATTTCGTAAATTGCATAAACAATTATGAACAAAACAGCATCATGTATTTATGCATTACTTAATCCAAGGAACCGAAGCGCCCATCACACAGATTGCCTTTAAAAACATATGAGACGCAGTGAAAAGGAATAAACCTTCACAAATTCATGACGTGTTTTCTAAACGTTTAAACTGTTTTAACATTGCATAGCTTTCTAAGCATCTCTTGTGTGAGACGCGAGTGCAGCAGTCATATTTGTCCGTCTAAAAAATGCACTGAATATGCGTTCTGTGTGAATGGCTTGGTTTCGGTTTTAACCTAATTATTAAGATCTTCTCCGCATTGAGCTTCTATATTTCTCTAATATTTTGAAGGCATAACACAGCAGCGGTGCGTCTCGTGGGCTATACTAACAAAACATTCAAATGCAACAACGTCATTTACATCATCATAACC